CTATAATTATTTTTTTTTCTTAAATGAGATCACACTGTTCTGTTGCATAACTGAGTTTTTAAATGTAATAGATCATGGTTATTTTCCTTGTTAGAACATGTTGATCTACTTCATTCTATTTGAGGGGTTAATGTGCATCTCAGGGTATGGATACTCTATAATTTATTTTCTTGTTCCATACTGATGGGCCTTTGTGGAGATCCCAACTCTGAAAAATATCATGATGAGCATACAGGCACACACCGTTTGTGACTTGGCATCGGTCATCAAACCATTGAGTCAAAGAACAAGAATATTTTTAATTTCGAAAGCCATCACTCCTTTTTGCCAGGGGAGAGGAGGTTGACCCCTCTGTGGCTTTAATTCAGTACCAGCCGGATGTAACAGGCATTGGCAATTCAAGCACGCAGGGGCCCCGTACAGACAGCGGCTCGGTCCCCTTTATAATCTGAACAGTTGTTCTAAAAATCAGCTCATGCCCACCCTCAGATCAGCTCAGTAAAGTCAAAGTTGGCCCCTTCTTGTCCTGGGAAAGGTCAAATGTTGACAGCTGAGAAGAGCTTAACTTCTCTGAGGTGTCAGCTAAGCTGGGGAATGGTGGGATGTTTGTGTCTCCACAAGACCTTCCATTCTAAGGTCATCTGGGCCCAAGAGCAGGGACTTCATGTTCTTCTTTCCTACAAAGCTTCAGTCTTTTACTGGGATTTGCTCAACAGGCTGTTCTATGGGCCAATCATCCTCACTCTACTGAAGAGAGAGGAGGAAAATTAAAGGCATGTGACCGCTGCTGGTAGCAGCCTATACAGACACAGTCTTCTGTGCGTGGGATCACGGTGCCCTTTGGTCATGACAAGTGCCCTTTGGTCATGACAAGGACCCATGGTCTAGCGTCTCCTTAGATAAAGGCAGCCTGGGGCACCTGGGCGTCTCAGTCGGTTGGGCATCCAACTCTTGATTTCGGCTCAGGTCATGATCTCACGGTCCATAGGATGGAGCCCCCCATCAGACTCTGTGCTAACGGCGTGGACCCTGTGTGGGATTCTCTCCTCCTCTCTCTGCCTCTCCCCCACTCGCTCTCTCAGTTTTACAATAAATAGATAAACATCAAAAATTAAAAAACAACACAGAAAACAGTAGCAACCACAGCAGTTACAACACAGCCCTTCTTTGGCTCTTCTGTATGCGCCTTCTACTTTTAGGGCACATGCCACTGGCCACATGCTCTCTCTTTATTCCAGTTCAGCTCTCGTCATGCCCTTGGATTCGCTTTCCACGAAAGAGTGTCCCCTTGTAGATGGGTTAG